TGGAAAAGTTTTGCAGATTTGAAAGATTTAAAATTCAATATTTTTTTTTTAAGCAAAATTGAATAATTTTTCATATTTTCCATTAATAGATTTTTATTTTTTACAAAAATATTATTTGAGTCAAATTTGATTGATTTCATTTTAATTTCTTAACATTTTATTTGAGCAATGTATACGCTTAAACATTATTTTTGTATATCATGCTTACTAACAATTTCATCATACAAACATTAATTTAGCTCTTTTGATACAAAATCATGTGATATTTATAAATTTAGAAAAAATAATTTTATTATCCATATTTACTTTTTGCAAAGTAAAAAATACTAATCAAGATACTGCAAAATTATAGGTTGAAAAATATTTCAATCGAATACAATCAATACATGTATTTTAGAAAAATTTTAAAAATCAATTTATAAAAATTTAGTTCTTTTAAAAAAAACTTAAAAAACAAGTTTAAAGGCCAATAATGCAAGAAAAAGAATATATTGTATCTTCTGTACTTCGGTATACTAAACGGAACCTGCAAACATTTATGTATAGACTCATTTGAATATTTTCTATAACTCAAGTGAAAAAATATCTTGAAAATCAATCAATTTTCAAGTCAATCAATCCTAATGCTTTCTTATAGAGAATGAAAAAATTCATTGTCAATCCTAATGCATGAAAAATATATAGTTCTATTTAAAAAAAAAAAATCTAGATTTTCAAATGAAAAAAACATTTTCAAAGATTTATATATCAGATAATGAATTATTGAAATCGCCATTTAATTTTTCCTAATTGAATTTTTTTCTATCTTCTAGTATATTAACGTTATAGCTTATTATTAATTCCGTTGCAAGGAACATCCTATATACAATGACAAAATAATAATTATATAATAAGATATTAAATTGATATCATTATCATGTAATTTCTGTCATTATAATTTCGATCATTCAAGGATTTCCATTGTTTTATATTTTATTTTCGCGAATTTGAATCTAAATATTAAGTACTATGGAATAAATAGAAAAATAAAAATTATTTTTATATTTGTTATAACAATATATATTAAATTATATGATTTTATTATTATTTCTAATTATTTTAACAATTTTCATATTTTGATATAACTACAATTATATCATTGTATCTAATCATCTGTCCTTTTCGTTTTACATATTACTTTATTCGTTATAAATCTCTTAGTTTTTCATATATTTATTTTTCATTCAAAAATGATTGAACCAAGTGATTAAATCTTTTCATTTTTAAGAATTAAATAGATTAATTTATTTAATTATATAATCTATTAAATTTTAACCGAGAAAAAATTTTTTAAATCATTATACATATTTAATAAAATATATTCTGATACAATTTTTATATATTATAAAGATTGTAAACAAAAATTCATATTTAAGAATTTCTATTAGATCGTAGATTTATATGAAATATTAGATTTTTATATAAAAAGTTTATATTGGATTTTTGTAAATTATTTTCAATTTTAATCAAAATACTATTCACGATATTTTTCCAACAGCAACCTAAGAAAAATCTTTCTTTTCGAAGAAGCCTTTGTTTTTAAAAGCGATAAGCAATAAGCTTTTTGAAGATTTGAAATCTAAAGAAGCTTTGTCTCTGAATATTTTCTGACATAAGAATGATTCAAACTTTTGAAAATCTATTGGAAAAATATTTGGAGGAGAATTTTGTAATTCTGAAAATGTTTGTACAATAATTTATAAAAAAAAAGAAATATAAAGTAATGAATATTAAAAAAATTAGAAAAAAACAAAATTCAAAATTTAATAAAAAATAATGCAGAATATAATAAACTTTCTACAGATAACAAACAATTTTCAATGTAAGAATAGCTGAACAAATTAACAAATCAACGTTCAAATGTTAAATAAACATAAATCCAATATTTCATGTAATACGACTTAGTACTTGTAAGATATAAAAATAAATTCAATTTTAAAACATCAAACAAGAATTTTAGAAGTTATTTAAATGATTCATTTCCAATTTTAACTTATTTTTTTTTTATGAGAAAAATGTATTATAGTTATTAGAGTTTATATAGAAAATTTAATAAAATTAGTGAAAATTGGAAAAATGAGCGATTAGTAAGAAAACAAAAATTAAAAATAGAAATTAATTGCACAAAAATTTGAGAATTAGTCTTTTAGAAATTTCTATTTAAGAACTATAAATATATATAAATATAATATAATATATAATACTTATATATTTTTATAATAAATATTTGTGCAATAAAAGTTTCAAAATTGATTTTTTTAATATTCCAAAATTAATTTTTTTTAAAAATTTGACATAAGAGTACTTATTAACAATAGTATTTTACAGTAACATAATAAAAAAGATCATAAAAAATTGATATTTTTTAAAATAAAACTATTATATTATAAAGAATATCGAGATAAGTTCAACAAAACATGACACTTTTGCTCGTGTAATAACATTATAATAGTAAAAGTAGTACATAATACTTGTCTTTTCAGTGTCAGTATGTCACGTGTTACATGATAGAAATGATTGCAAATAATTAAATAAACTTAATAAACTCAAAAACTCGAATTCATAATAAAAAAATAATATTTTTTAAATATTATATATCATTATTTATAGTCCATATAATAATTTTAAAAATTCTTTTTTATTGCATTTTATATAAGTGATTTAATAATTGTGAAAAGAATAAGCATTTGTTTTTATTATTTTTTAAATAAATCGTAAACAATTATCGAGGAAAAGTTACGTGAAAAAATGATTTTAATTAAAATAGTAGTAAGCGTATTCTGCTAACTAATTAAAGTTAAGCCATAATTGCACACCTCTTCGCGTATATTATTATACGCGCTCTATCATTATTTAGTATTTATATGAAAATAATCAACAGAATGATTATATTTAACGACTAATTAATGAAAATAGCACACGGCAAATCTTAATTTACACTATACTATACTTAGAAACGGTTTATTTATTTGTTAATATTATACCGTTTTAATTCGCATTACAATTGTAGTTAACTATTTTTGGATAATAATATAGAATAATGAATATTCATCGATTTGTCATTTAAGTGCATATCACGAAGAACATCTTACATAAAAAGAGATAACGACGTCAACTTATAAGTCAGTTCAATTTTATATAAAAATAAGATATAGGTATTATCAAATAAAAAAACTAAAAAAGAAAATATATAAAAATAGAAAAATATTTTAAAATACTATATAAGTAATATTTAAATAGTACAATTCGATTAAACTCACATAAATCGATTTCCATTGGTGATCATCTATAATTTCTAGATGCAATTTATCGATAATTATAGGAATAATTAATTTTTCTAAGAGTTTGTAAATAAATTTAAACATATATTTTAACATGCACCAGAATGCATATAAGACAACAAGCCATCCTCTATAAACTACTGTATATTGTAACTACTGTATAAACTATATTATATTGCTATGAGATACACTATGTAAAAAGATTATATATATATAGTAATGAAGATCATTTCTAAAATTCTTTTATTGAAGTAACAATTTCATTGCAAAAATATTGATCGTATAAGGAAAAAAAATATTAAATAAAATGCTTCATGTTCCAATCGCACTTAATCGATATTAAGGTCAATAATTTCCTCTGTTGTAAATATATATACTTGGATATTTTTTCGAACATATTACACTTGTAACGAATATTATCCATTGATAATCTATTAATAATACTTATAGTGTTTAAGAAACAAATCAAATGAAAATAAGAAACACTCCTAATCGTAGAATAAACGATTAATTATTTGACAATAAATTCATATTATAATTCAATATCATGTTAACAGTTATATTAAATGAGAGATTAACGACCCTTCTTGACTGAGCGATTTCTTTCCACCATTTCATTTTCAAATTATTATCGATCATGTACTTCATGTAAACAAAGTCATAACCTCTTCTTCGAATTTACTGTTATCAGCATTCTCAAGAAATTGATATAAATTGTCTGCGTTTGCAAGTGCAAATTCTACGAATTTCTATAACTATTATTAATATAATTAATAACTATAATTTTTTGCAATATAATTAAAATTGAACATTAAAAAAAATGATAAAAATTTTTGTGATACAAAGATCTAAATGAAAAAGCATTATTCCCTGCAGAGTTATTAAAGCCTCTATTAAGGGGAGTAAACTTTCGGAAAATTTTCGAAAGTTTAATGGAAACTCACTGAGAATATGGTAACCGTTTGTGAAGAAGTTGAATGGACTGTTATGTGAATAGACCATCTGGTCGTGGGAAAACGTGCGCATTTCGTACAGTATCTAGAACGAAGACAGCATTTCTTTTTTTGAAATTTCTTTTCGTAATTTATTCCTTTTAATATTTCCAAACAGATATTATTCAAAATTTATAATGAAGCTTGCAATATCATTTGAGATTAATGTCAACGAGAAAAATGAAGAGGAAATCGAAACGAAAGAATAATAAAAAACGTGAAAAATATTTTTTCTTTTTAAGAATATTTATATAATGAGAACCACGTGAGAAAACAGAATCAGTGGCGCAAGCATTATGAAAAACTAACATAAAGAAATTTGCATATTCACATAAGCACACAAATATATGTTTGACAATGAGACAATCGCACGCATCTCATCGAAGAATCACATCGTCTAACCTCAATGACACAATCGAATGGAGGCAGTGAACTTCTCTGGCGTCGGACTATTTCAAGCTCTTGAAACGCGGCAAGACGAGAGAAAAGAAAACCAGTTCACCGCGCGCGTAGAATTCTACGTGACTTACGTAAAATATAACATTGTTCTGAAGAGAGATTCGATGCGTTTATAAAATATGTTATTGCATATACATGATAATATGTTTAACATACATAATATATAAATGTACACATATATCGTTGTCACTTGGATCATACTCGCAAAGGACAAAATTCATCGACTTACGTCAACTGCGAGCTCCACTCTCGATCGATACACCACGATATCTCTCTCTCACTCTATCTGTCTCTGTTGCCCTTTCACAACTGTTGGCTCCGTCCCTTTGTTCCTATCGTCCCGGTAGATTCTCACCAATAAACACTAAACAAGCCCAACAAAAGCAATACGTAAGAAACCGGCAACGACTGTCTTCTTTTGTCACGAATCACGGTAATGTGAATGAATATAGAAGACAAGTATAAGGAGAAACTCGCACGTAAAAAGATAAACAAGAAAAAACGTCGAACACAACACACACGCGATTCGCGATTCCGGAGCACAGCTGGTTGGAACGTCGTCGTGCGCGTTACGCTGTATCGGCCACTCGAAACTCCGGCTGCCGTTTCAAGGGCAAGGCTAGCCCTTGTCGTTGAAGGAACGCGGTACTATCATTATGTTACAGGTAAATTTTTACAAATACAACAATGAAAACAAATTATATACGATCAATCTTCTCACGAATTGAATCGAATTTTCGTCATAAATTGAGTTGTTCCAAACTTTTGTTCCGTTCAAGAAATACCAAACTCGTCACGAACCGACTCCCTCGATGGACACGACGATACTGAGGCGCCGGCGTGTTTATTGCCCCCACCACCGATCCCCCCGCTGCTTCCAGCAATCTATCCCCACTACTCTCGCTGCTCTTTCCTTCTCTACTTCTCTAACCATGCTGGATTTTTCCCTACCACGCCACCCTCTCTACCACCAGCTTCCCATTCGACCCTCTCCTACCTATATCCCAGGTCTCAGCTGTCCTACGAGTGTTCTGCTTCAAACCTTTTCCTTCCTTTTCTTACTACCATTTTATCCTCGTTTCTTTTATATCCTTTCTCTGTTTCTATCCTTATCTCTCTCAACCCTGATCCGCCACGATGTCCTTGTTCGCATCGTTTCCCCTACGCTGTTCCTTTCTTTTCTCTTCGTCTCGCTTTTACTTACACAATTCGTGTTAAACTGTTCCTTTCTTTCTCGCGGGTGAATTCGAAGCATAAACTAGGTCGTTATGTTCACAGTGCCACACGCGTGTTTTAACCGTTTGGCTTTTTCGAGTTTTCCCGGGATACAGATAAACATAGTGACAAACCCTTCGAAAACATTGGAATCGTAGCGCGTGCTTTTCGGGATGAACGAGGGTAAAGTCTGACCGAGGATTAGCCGATGAAGTCTGTCGCGACAAATCCAACGGCAGTGACGCAAACTGCGTCAAGGATTCCACCCTCACGAGGCCAGCGAGATATGCAAATGTAGGCTACCCGGAAAAAGCTACAAAAGTTGACCTTGCAATTTTTCACTGGCAGTCTTGAATAATTGTTGTTATTGAGGCGGATTTTTTTATCGTTTTATTGTAAAAGATTTTTTATTGTAGAAAAAACACAATGATTTTTTTTTTAATCTTTAAATTGTATAGATTTTCTTTTTAAAGGTCAAGCTGATGTAATTATTAAATTATTTATTTTAATTATTTATTTTATTTTAAAAATTATAATTTCATTTATTATTATTGAAGAAGTATTTCATTATTTTCTGTTCATTTTCATAAAAATATTGTTGTTTTGACCTTTATCTTTTTTCTTATTACAAAAATATTTTTTTTCTATCAAAAATGATGTATAAAATTCATTTCATGATTTTTTACCTATTACGTTATTTGATTTTATAAAGCAATTCATAAAATTATTATTCGATAGAGATAGAAAAATTTAGTTACCATACAAATCTTTTAACCATTTACTCGACAAAATTTGTTTATTTTCCTCAATTATTAATTCAATTATAACTTAAAAACGAAACACTTTTCAGTACCGTAATTCTACAATTCCTTTTAAAATAATTTTTTTTATTTACACATTTAACAAACCTGCGAAAATATTGAAACATGGATTCAGAAAATAAATCAACATTGAAAATATAATCTGTGCATAAATTTTGAAATAAATTTTGATACAATTCTTACTAAATTTTGTGTAATAATGGAATAATGCCAATAAAATAATTTTATCATAATTTCATTATTATTAGATTGCGAATATTTATATATTTATGCAAAATTTCAATGTTAAAAATTTAAAAAAAAATCTAGAACGTATATGATATGCAAAAAAAAGCATAAAATATTCAAAATATAGCACTCATAATATTTGAAAAATAAGGCAAATCTTTTTTTAAATTTTATTTTTTTAATTCATGTTCATAAAAATTTTATCTTGCATAACATTCTATTCATAATATATTATATACATATTCTCGTGTCACATCGATCCGAAAGTTAAATTTTATATTTTCTTTTTGCTATTTTTATATATTAACTACAAGTTAAAATTAATAGTTAATTAAAATTCTATTTATATATATTACAAAAAAAGAATAATAATGTTTCTCTGTCACATCAATTTAAAATTTACTTATATCATAATATGTATATATGTAAAAAAAGAAAGAAGAACCGATAATTTTCGTTTTTTCTTTATTTATTTTTTTATATTTTTGCAAGAACAATTGTTCTACTATAATTCTACATTTGTTAAAAGGATACAGCACAAATCTAGCGTCGCATCGTATCGAATTAATCGTTCTCTATTCGCAATAATGTATTCGAGGCACGTTCTACCGGAAGCCGCAATGCGATCGTAGGAGCGCAGGGATAAAAAGTGAATCTTTACGCGGCAGGAAATATAGCGATCGTTTAACAGTAAATCCTGTGCGGTCGCATAAAGAGGACGCTTAATCCGCATAAGCGATAGTATAGCACTAAGTTTCTTTAGCTGGGATATAAAAATGATATTGTGCAATTATCGAATGTTTCGTTCTTTTTTAAAGAACACTTGAAGAGAAAAAAAAGGGGAAGACCTTCGATACCAGACCGTTTTCTTTTTGCTAGGCGAGACACATGCGGCCATTTATTACGGTATTCATTTATTAAGACCACCTGGGATGTGTGCTATAATTATGCTGCCTGAAACTGCGTGAAACCAGTTCGACAGTAAGCCTGGCGATAACTAAGGACAGGCCTCGCTCTGTTGCTGATCTCGGATCTTCGCGATTATGGAATGTCAACCATTGAACAGAATTCTCTCGTTAACGCTTGATTAATTTATTTTTCCATTTATTTTAATCCTTTTCTAATATTTCTGTTTAATCTTTCTTCTTCGTCTTATTTTATTTGTCCATTTTTGTTTTCTCTTATGTTTAGATTTTTATTTTCATAGTTCAATAAAGTTATTAAACGGTATTTTAATTAATATTGGAAATTTCAATTATCCTTTGAATTAATATTCATTTTAATTAGTCTGTTGTTTCTTTACTTCTATATTATCTATTGTTTTTTTACTTTTCATTTTATTAAGACCCACATTTAGTATTTTTCCCTCTTTTATAATTTTATAATCTTGTTCTTTTTCAATGGATTATACTGTTGTTTATTATTGTGGCCATTTTTATCTTTAGCATACAGTAGATTAGTTATATTCTCTAAGTTTTTTTAGGTATTCTTTCTGTAACCTTATTTATTGTTTCTATTATCGTCTGATATTCCTTTCTTAAATTATGCGGAAGTTTCCGGATCATCATTTTGAGATAAGCTGAAATTCAAACTGTATGTGTATAAGTTTTTATTCGTGTACTGCTATTATATTTCACTATATATAAAAATTCTGAATAAATATTCTTTTATAGTTGTGTAAGAAAAAGTAGATAATCCTAAATTGTATGTAGATAATTATGGAAATAGCAATATTTCACGAAATAAATGATATTTTGTTTCCACATAATCCATAGATATAATCTATAATCCAGAAGATTAATACAAGATGTCATAAAAAATAATATTACAATTTTATTGTAAATAAAATTTTATAATTTGAAATAAATATATAATTTTAATGAATATATAATTTAAATGATAATTTTTTTTATCAATAATTTATTCAATTTTTTCAATTATATCGATCAAACAATCATCTTTAACACTTTTATAAATGCATATTTTTTCAACAATATTTTTCATGACATTTTCATATATTTCTTGCATTATTTATTAACGATTATTAATTTATGATTATTTCTTTATTAATGAATTTCTTAATGATTATTATACAACTGCTTAATTATTAAATAGAGACTTATTTGCATAATCTTTTAAGAGCCTTTAAAGAAAAAATCTGTTAACAATTAATTTTAATAACAATTGATTAGCGATTGATTTTAATAATAAATTTTTATAATAATAACAAATTATTGAAATATAAAATATTCCATGATAAAATTGCGTAGTCTATACGCACTATTAATAATTGACTTAACCTCAAAAGCGAAACAAAGGGACATTGCTTTTATGTTACTTTTTTATACATAAATATATCTAGAATAACCAATTTTCGGAATTTGAAAAAGATTTAATTGCGATACATTTTGTACATTTTAGCGATGCGGCATCTCTCTAGCAAATATGAATAAGATAAACAATATTAAATAAAATAATTAATTTAATATATTTGTATTTAATATATTTGAATGCAATATTCAGGTCACGAAATAAAATAATATTTATAATTTATTTATAAATATTTATAATTTTATTACTTGTCTAGATAGATAGATACGGTGTATTTATCCATTAATGATAATAGATTAAATGATTATTATTATTATTGTAAGTTTAATCATTGTAATTATAATCGTTCAAATATTGTTTTATATTTATTTTTCTTTCTCTATATATAGATACTACTGTGGTCATACTAACTTCTTATACATTTTTACTACCAATCGCCATAATATGTTTATATAAGCAATTGATAAGTGACAATTACATATTTCAGTATACACTTTATCAAGGACGAAATTCTATAAATAAGTAATAATAAAATAACTATTTATTTATCCACTGATAATAATAGACTGATGTTACTATATTGTAATTTTGATTATCTAAGAGTTATATTTTAGAAAGTATTATTAGCTTATACATTATACATTTTAGATGTCAATCAGATGCTGTGATATAAACAGTTGATAAATGACAGTTGCATGTCAATATTTATTTTATTGTAGAGGTATATTTATAGATAAATTTTTTATATAATATAATATTAATAATTTTTTTTTTTGCAAATATCTTAAATAAAATTAAGATATTATTACAGTTATTATATATAGTAGTCATCTCGTTCTCTGTAATACATTCGAAAATAAAATTATCGAAATTGATAAAGAAGATAGCTTTTTTGCAATTTCACTATTAGCGAATAATAATATTTTATATCACAATTTATTTTTAGCAAAAATAATATAAAATTGATTTAAATTTCTTGATTCAAATAAATTGTCCAATAACAGAGAAGTTAGGAAATCAATATAAAAATTGGTTTGAAGGATTAAAAAAAAGTTAGCTCTAATAACACGTGGAAATAAAATTGGATTTGCATCCTTATCGCGATAATATAACGACGATAAAATATTTCTATGTAAAATGCATAAATTTCTACGCAATAACTGAACCCGTTCTGGAAAATTGTATCGAATATAAAACGTGTCAGTAAATGATTTGGATTATAGAGGATCGATAAA